GAATCTGCTATTTCCAAATTTTAAGAGCCTTGCGTTAAAAAAAACTTTTGGTTTTCTGAAGTCCTTTATGTATATATGTTCTGAAAAATAGTAGCAGAATGAAAGAACTGATAAATACTTCAATGTACATCTTCTCCGAGTTCAAACTGCAATCAAGCCTTGACACAAATTTTAGCTCATGCACCATCCAAGTCATTTCAGGACATGGGTTGATATTTATGTTCAATAAAATTCTGGCCTAATGAGCCAAAGTAGATGTGGAGGCTTTTCACTTTGTCCACTGGCACTTCGACCTAGGTCAGTTGTATTCAAAGCTTGTTTACATGACAGCCTAACAAATTGTGAGATGCAGACCAATTTTGAAAAAATGGGACTGTTTGTGTCATAACACCTTTATAATAATACTAGGTTTAATCAGACTGCTTGGAACTGTATAAAGTGGAGAGATTTCCAAATTTAGGGGATATTGTTATATTATCAGAAGTTTTGTTATGCCAAATATCCTCACTTTTTACTTACAATTTAGTACAGCCAGGGCATTGGGACAAGGGGGAATATTATGGTGTACTGCATGATAGCTCAACATCCTGTGATATGGAATCAGAAAGACAGCCTGTCCCATCTGATAACTCCTACAGCTAAAACCAGAAATGGCAATAAGTTGTACTGTCAAAAATGGCCAGTGTCATCTGTTCCACATGAACAACGTCCTGTTTCCTATAGAATCACATAATTTTATCATTTTAACAAAGGATGGATAAGTCAAATTTTTTTTCTTTAAGTGTAAAAATTCTTACAGTGTGAAAGCTTCTATCACATTCTGTTCCTTTTTTGCTGCCCTACCTCCCTGAAGCATCTCTTCTCCATCTCACAAACCGCTGTTCCTTTCAAACTTGCTATGTGTCCTATGAATCCGGAGGCAACCATGAAGCTCTCCTAATTCATAGTACAGTATAAATAAATACTAACTTAATATTCCCCAAAGGGCTTGTAACTATAAGGAAGACATTTAAAGAAGGCACCGGAGGAGGCTTTGCAATTTAAATGCAGGGTAGGGAAATTTTCCCCAAAACCTTCCAGGAAAAAGAAAATCAAAAGAGCCATCATCCCTCCTCCCCCCGAAAAATTAATATAATTCATTCATATATTCTACAAATATTTGTTGCCTATAATATTCTAGGTCCTGTTATTGATATTTTACTTTTATCATAAAAATATAATTCTTACCTTAAAAAGACCAAGGAATATAAAGTTAATCGAAAGTTCAACATTATCTGCATCAATTTCGTATGACATAAAAAGTAGGTAAAAAAAAAAAGATACCTATGTGTTCTTTTTTAATTGGACTTTTGTTGGTTGGAAAATATGAGCAGAAACAATATTTCTCTTTTCACCAGGGAAGCGCCATGCACTAGGAGGACTAATAGGATGACACTCCATTGCATGGTTAGTGGAGCTGGGGCAAGTAGATTAACAACTGCTATAGCATCAGTTTTTAAACTACCATTTTTCCTACAGTCATTTAAAAAGAATTTAAAAGTATATGTTGATTTTTTTTTTACATATTTAGTGTCAAATCCACAATTTTGTGACTGATAAAACGCAAATTTTTCCTCAATACCATCTTTTCTTTATGTTACAGGGTTATCTCTCTTAAAAGCCAACCTACTTATTATGTCCATCTTCTACTTTTCAGTCTTCAATATCTGCCCCCTTGTTCTTAGGACAGGTTTCTTAGTATGTGCTCCAAGACAGTATGATTTTATCCAGTAACATTCTTCCAGCCTCATCTGAGATCTTTTCCTCTCCATGCTCATTTCTTATTACTTTGCATTTCTTTTAGTTCTACTAATACATTGTGATATTTTTACGAAGCACCCCGGCTTTACCTGCCTAGATCTTTCTCATTTGTTAGGGCTCACTTTGCATAAATGTCTTCCTGCAGAAAAGCTTCCTTGACTGCCTAATGGTGCACTTCCAACATTCCATGGAAGCCTCTTTTCAAGTATCAGAGCACTTAGCTTATATTATTTATGGCAATGAAGCTTTCAAGCATCTATCTCCATGAGAGAGAGGATAGCATTTGCTTTGTTTAATGCTTAGCACAATGCTGGCACATAGTAGGTACTTAGTGTATGTTCACTGGGTGAACTATGTTCAGTTCAGTATATATTTCCAGAGTGAGTATAGGTGTGCAAGGTGCTATTCTATGCAACACAAAGATGACTAAGACATATTCTCTTCATGTTGCTTTCCATTTAGTATGTGTAGGCATTAGGGTATGTCATGACACAAATCCTATTATTAAGGCAACATTACAGGGGCCAAAAAGAATCAGTCATGAAGAAATGGTTATGGGAATTTAGTTTCAGATATCAGATTAGAGTTTACTTTGGAACATTTTGATTAGTGTTTGAGAAGGTAGATCTCTTTTAATAGCTAGATTTAATTAGCTTTTTCAATAAATGAAAAAAATATGGTTTTGTTTCCTTTATGTTTGTCTTTCCATTTAAAATAGTAAAAATGATTATCATATTCATCAGTTCCATACTGGATTTAACAAAATATTTGATGTATATTTTAGTATTATCATAATTGTAGTTTTTATTATTAGGAGAGTTATGTCTAGATTTTCTGTACACAGATCTGTGATTATAATAATCCATTCCTAATTGCTTGTGTGAAATATATGAATTCTTTTTTGTACATTATTGTATCCTTTGAGGTGTTGGTAAACTAGACCCAATAGCAATATTTAATGTTCTCTTGAAGGTTATTTGACTTTGACTTAGAAATGTTACATTCCCATTAATTTCATAAATATTCCTCTAATGCTTTTTCTAAACCTGGGACATAATATGGATCTTATTTCCACAGAAAATCATGGATATTATCAGTAATTGCTCTATTACCACAAAGAAAAAATATATTTAGATTGCAGAATCTCGAGATATTTCAAAAAATCTTTTGAAGTAGTGATTCAATATTGGTAATGAATGTAGTTTGCATACAAATAATAGTTATTATACTTTAAACCACAGTATAATAGTTATTATACTTAAACCACAGGATACTAAACCCAGGTGCTGCAGATTTCCATTTATTGTGCTAAACATACAGTGGAATGATAAGGCTATGTTGTGATTTTTGAAAAATATTATTTTGAAGGTCTTAAAAGAATTATATGCTTTGTTCTCATAGCATCATTTCACTCTATTCTGTGATCATATTCTATGTAATTCTCCCTCTAAATTAAAATTTACTCTGGATGGGCCTACTCTCTTCTTAGTCGCTCATAGACTTCTCCCTTATCTTGTGACTTTTAAAACCTCAGCAATGGTAGTTTATACAGATTATTTCTGGCATTACCTATGCTAATATAGTTTCTCCTCTTTTCTGCTTTTAGTATAAACAAGTTTATATAACACCTAAAAAAGAATTTTTGAAATGTGACACTAAAGAGGTCCCTAATGTTTATTTCCCTGGAAGACCAATTTGGTAAGTGCCGAATCTCATTAGCTGCCACTTCTATTACTGATTTTATAAGTCAGATGTGAGAAACTATCCTACAGAGCAAGAAAATGTTCATAATGGTAAATTTGTCTTTTTATTATATTTTTTCAATTACAGTTTACATACAATATCATATTAGTTTCAGATGTACAACATAGTGATTAGACATTAATACACCATACGAAGTGATCACCCTGATAAATTTTGTATCCAGATGACACAATGCATAGTTATTACAATATTATTGACTATATTCCAAATGCTGTATTTTACATCCTCATGATTATTTTGTAACTACATATTTGTACTTTTTAAAAATTACGTTATATAATTTTATTTTATTTTTTAAATAATTTTTTTATTTTCAATTATAATTGACATAATATTACATTAGTTTTAAGTGTACAACATAGTGTTTAGACATTTATATGACTCATGATCACCCCAATAAATCTAGTACCATCTGACACCACACAGTTATTACAATATCATTGACTGTATTCCTTATGCTACAGTTTTACATCCCTATAAATATTATGTAAACACCAATTTGTACTTCTTTATTCCTTCTCCTTTTTCACCCGTCCTACCAACCCCCTACCCATCTGGCAACCATGAAAATGTTCTCTGTATCTACAAGTGTGTTTCTGTTTTGTTCGTTCATTTTTGTTCTTTAGACTTCACATGTAAGTGAAATCACATGGGATTTGTCTTTCTCTATTTGACTTACTGTACTCAGCACAATATCCTCTAGGTCCATCCATGTTATTGCAGATGACAAGATTTCATTCTTTTTTATGACTGAGTAATATTCCACTGTATATATGTACCACCTTTTCTATCTTCACTCATCCATTGATGGACACCCAGGTTTTCTCCATATCTTGGCTATTGTAAATAATGCTGCAATGAACATATGGATGCACATGTCCCTTTGAAGTGGTGTTTTGGGTATCTCTGGATAAATATCCAAAAGTGGGGTTTCTGGGCCCTTCTTTGTCCCTTGTTATAGCTTTTGTTTTAAAGTCTATTTTGTCTGGTATAAAAATTGATACCCCAGCTTTTTTTTTTTATTTCTACTTTCATGAAATATCTTTTTCTACCCATTTACTTTCAGTCTGTGTGTGTCTTTTGATCTAAAGTGAGTCTGTTGTAGGCAGTATATGTGAGAGTTTGTTTTCTTATCCATACAGCCATCCTATGTCTTTCAGTTGGAACATTTAATCTATTTACATTTAAGTAATTATTGATAGATATGTAGTTATTGCCATTTTACTATTCATATGTGTGTGTGTATGTATGTGTGTGTGTGTATATACATTCTTTTTATAACTCAAATGCTATATTGGTGGGGCTTGAGAAGCTGTGACAGAGCCTAGCATGTAGACTGCGAGGGCTTGGACAGCTGTCAGGGATGAGTAGGCTCTGCTGCTTTGGCCATGTTGTCTGTTCTCAAGTTCTTAGAAGCAAGCATGCAGGCAGAAAGGTCAGCCCTTCAGAAACTGGTAGGTGACCTCATAGATTCCCATAGACTCCTGAGCCTTTTTGTCATAGTCAGTCCAGTTCTTCCCCTGCAGATTAATGTCACTAAAGATTGTCCCAAATTCCATACACTCAGCAGCAATCCCAGCCTCACAGGCTTGTTGTGAGGTAAAAATGCTGCACCAATAAAGTAGAGTGAGCATTGGCTCTGGAGTCAGACAGACCTAGGTTCAAATTTCAGTTTCATGGCTTACTAATTCTGGGCAAGTTGCAAAATCTCTGAAGTCCTTTCCTCATATGGGGCAGGAAATCAGGGCTCTGACATTCAAAATCTACTATCATCTTGAACTTCTCATTGTCTTTAGCATTGTAATATTTGATGGTACTGCTTGGAATCTTGATGGAGTTTTCCTTTGTGCACAGCTTGCACTTCTGGACATGGAGGCATTGCCACGACCTCCCTTAGTGCCACATTGTCCATCAGCCGAATGTATTGCCACTTCTCTGAAATCTCACTGCAGCTGCCACATTTCATCTTTAAGTACCACTGGAAGCCCTCCCTCATAGGCTGTAGGTTAGTGATGTTCTCCAGCATGGCTATGAGCTGCAGTGTGACTTTTCCCCATAGGGGCCTGGCTCAGCACAGCACTGGCTGTGGTCGCTCTTATATTTTGGATATCTTTTTCCTTCTTCTTCTTAAAGAAGTCTCCTTAGTATTTCTTGTAATACTGGTTTGGAGATGATGAACTCCTTTAGGTTTTTCTTGTCTGGGAAGCTATTTAGCTCCCTTTCAGTTCTAAATAATAGTTTTGCTAGCTTCAATTCTAGAATAATTTTGGTTTAGGTCCTTGCTTTTCATCAGTGTGAATATTTCATACCAATATTTTCTGGCCTGCAAAGTTCCTGTTGAGAAATCAGGTAACTAATTGCTTTTCTCTTGCTACTTTTAAGATTCTCTCTTGTCTTTAACATTTGGCATTTTAATTATGATGTGTCTTGGTGTGGGCCTGTTTGGGTTCATTTTCTTTGGGACGCTATACGCTTCCTAGGCTTATATGTCTATTTCCTTTGCCCGATTAGGGAAGATTTTGTTATTATTTCTTGAAATCGGTTTTCAATTCCTTGCTCTTTCTCTTCTCCTTCTGATACTCTGATGATATGAATGTTAGTACACTTGATGTTGTCCCTGAGGTTCCTTAATCTGTCCTCAATTTTTTTGGATTTTTTTTTCTTTTTGCTATTCTGCTTGGATGTTTTCAGTTACCTTCTTTTCCAAACTGCTGATTTGATCCTCTGCTTCATCTAATCTGTTGATTCCCTCTAATGTATTCTTCATTTCATTTGTTATATTTTTCATTTCTGACTGGTTCTTTTTTGTTTTCTATCTCCATTTTTATGATTTTATCTCTTCATTGAAGTTCTCACTGAGATCATTGAGCATCCTTATAACTAGTGTTTTGAATTCTGTATCTGGTAGATTGCTTGTCCCCATTTTTTTTTTTTTAAGTTCTTCTGGAACTTTGTTCTTTTCTTTCATTTGGGCCATGTTTCTTTGTCTCTCCATTTTAGCTATCTTCCTGTTTTTGTTTCTGTGATTTAGGAGGATCTGCTACATCTTCCAGTCTTATGTAGTATTCGTTCTGTGGGGTCCAGTGGCTTAGTCTCCCTGGTCACTTGGGCCAGATACTTTAGGTGTGTCCCTTGTGTGAGTTGTATGTACTCTCCTGTTGTAATTGAGCCTTGATTGCTGTTATCATGTCAATGGGAGAGTTTGACCCTTGGGCTGATTAATTGTGAGAACTGGCTGTGACTGCAGTGGAGGAGCTATTGTGCAGGGAATGACCATGTGGAACAGCATTTGCTTTAGCAGGGCTCTAGTGCTTGCCCAGTCTGCCCTTTGGGCGTGCCATTGTGGAGGTGGTTGGGTGGTACTCTGGTGTCTGGAAAAGCCACTGGAAGTGGCTTGGATGGACCTGCCAGTTGGCTGGGGTGGGGTCTCAGGGAATCACCAGGACTTGGTAAATAATGTTAGGCAAGTCAATGGAGACTCAGATATGGCGCCCTGCTTCATTTGTACACTGGATTGGGGAAGGGCTCAACAAAGGAAGAGTGACCTCTGCCAGCACTTCTGTCTGGGAGAAAGCTGCCCCTCCAGCCCTGGCCTTGAAACCAGACAATTTAGTTCCTCTCCATATATTCCTGGTGCCTATCAAGCTGTTGCTCCACTGCTGGAGCTCAGAGTGAGTGAGTCTATCAGTGAGTAAGTCTGGGCATACACCCTTTAATAGAAATGTCTGCAACTCCCCCAGCCCTCCATCTCACTCGGCCACAATCTTTGCTGGTTCTCACAGCCAGAGGTTATGGGGACTTCTCTTCTCAGCACTTGAACCCCGGGCTGGGGAGCCTGGTTTAGGGCAGAGATCCATCACTCCTCAAGGGGGATCTCTGCAGCTGAGATTGCCCTCCCAATTTTTAATTGCCACATGGTGTGGAGCCCGCCCATTCTGAATCTCCACCCCTCTTGCCAGTGTCAAGATGGATTCTTTTGTATGTCCTTAGTTTTAGGACTTCCATTCAGTTAGACCTTAGGAGAGTCTCAGTGATGATTGTTCTGTAGTTTAGTTGTAATTTTAATGTAGTCATGGAAGGAGATGAGCATAGCATTTTTCTACTTCACTGTCTTGACTTGAAGCTCTCAAATTTGTCTTTCTGAGGTAATCTATGAAACTGCTCATATAGAAAGGCACACAAGAGGAATTAATTTTCTTAAGTATTTTATTATCAGTAATTCTTAATTTACCATGTTATAATTTTTATCTTTTTTAAGGAAGATAATTAAAAGGAAGATCAAACCTCTTTTAAAATTATTAAAGTTAAAGAAATTAGAGATTTTATAATCTGTTTTTCTGATATACTTACTAAGTTGCTTTTCTGAAGAACCATCATAGTATACAGATGGAAATACTGAGGAAAGATGGCTTTAAAACTGTAGACATCTCATTTATTTAATTAAATTAGAATTAGTGAGGCTCGAACTCAAACAAGATAAGCATACTGCTTGTATTGGTGTTCTGTCAATGGATATTTGTTTAATGATCTATTCTGAATAAGAATGGCAGAATTAAAGATAATTTGACTGGAACTCAAAGTGCTTAATTTTTAGTCCCTGCTTTTTTCCTCACTAAATGTGGGGCTCAAGCTACCCCTCCATCTGTTCAGTGAGATCACTACTTTAATTTCCACGGTCTTCAAGGTTTATGTAAGTCTTAAATAGAATTACTTTTTAGAATAAATATAGATTTTGCTATACTCTTTCACTTACTCAACAAATACTTTCTGAGTTCTTCCTTCATGCCAGGCACCTTGCTAGTCACAGAGTTAAAGCAGTGGACAAAACAGATACAGTTCCAGCACTGTGGGGCTCAGGGTCTAGGAGGAAACAAACGTTACGTTATCATGCAAATAAGTAGCCAAGTAGAAATTGTGATAAGTTTTGCAAAGATGTCATGGAAGTGTCAGGGGAGGCAATAATAGGACGAAACTAAATTAGATTGAGAGTCGAGACTTGTCTCTATGACAGAATAAGAGCTTAAACTGAAACCTGAGGAGTGAGAAAGCAGCAGCCAGGTGAAGAGTGAATCAGGATCAGTATTCCAGACAGAGGAAAGAGTCCATAGAAAAGCCCTGAGGTATGAAATCACCCAGGGGTCCAGGATGTGATCTGAGATGAGGTTGGAGTGAGAAGGAAGAAAGTACATCATGGGAAGGCTGAGGCCAGAGAAGGGCTTTTATTTTAAATACAGTGACAATTTGAAAGTGACACAGAGAGGGGTATGTATGGAAGGGAGATATGTACGATGTATAACAGATGAGATTTTGGGTGGGTGAGAAGTTTGGGTTTGTTTTCATTTGTTTTATAAAGACTTACATTTTTAAAAAGGCTGGATTCTCAAGGAGATAATATCAGGCAAGAGTACACATGGACTTTGAACATCTGAAAATGTTTCTTAAAAGGCTTCACGTATCTTTTTAGGAGTACTCATCTCACAACTTGAAAATCACAGATTTAAAACACAGTGCCCAATCTCAGATAGTCTATAATCTCATTGGGTAGAAAATGCACAAATACATGAAAAGTTAATCATAAACATTTAAATAACAATTCAGAACAATAATAGAGGAACTATAATAAGCAAGTCATGTGTAATTATTTAATCAACTGAGCAGCAAGTGATTGGTCAGAGGCCCTGAGTGGTCAGGGAGTTCTTTTGGGATCTTGAAAAACTGGGAGAATTTGAATGGCCTGAAAGGAGCACTTATGACATCTCAGGACTAACATGTCCGAGGATTATTTGGGACCTACATCACATCTTCATTTTCTTATTGAATTATTGTTTCACAGATAACATCAAATTCATTAACTGGCCCAAATTAATAGAAAGTACGAAACATAAAATTTATGTTCATTACTGTATATGCTTTCAGACACCCCATTTTCTTTTTTTAATGTTAGAAATGACTGAAAGATTAAGGCTGGTTGAGGTAGATGTCAGAGGAAAGATAAATCAGTTAGGATAGATAGAATAGTGGGATAAAAATATAATTTGTGTATAAATTTTAACAAAAATGTTTTAACTTGTGACTAATGAAATATATAGGCTAAATAAATTAATGTTGTTTTGTTTATCCAAATATTGAAATTGAGAATTCAATTTAGCTCAGCATCTTGATTTCCTTGATTTAAATTATAATAACAATAACAATAACAAGTAGCATCTTAGAACAATAACTCTTCCAGAAGTTAGATCCACATCCGGTTCCTAGATTTTTATTGATGGCTAATTACCTCAAAACTGCGACCATATATAGTGGCACCTGATGGAATCAGTTGTATATGATATCCATATTTTAGACTATATGCTGTTTGTTGCTCTAGGCTGATATCAAATAACTATTCCTGATATCTAAATGAGCAGCAATGACCTTGTCATGGAGCATGGAACTTGTCATTAGCATTTGCAGATTAACCCAGAATTATGAAGTACAATTTCCATATTTCTTTATATCTACATATATATTTTATAAATTTTGTTATATATAAATAATATTAAATTTATATGTAGATATAAATATTAAGTACTGTTATAAAACTCTATATGTGACCATCAACTAGTTATGAAATTCAGAATATTTAAAGCAGTTTCTCCAAAAATATATGCAAATAATAAAAATTCAGTGAGATTTTTCTATACATTTTATGATTTAAATGGTGAAGTTATTTTCTTCTTAAAATCCCTTCTTTTGATAAAGTCCTAAGGAAACAATAAGAGATGTAAAGATGTTAGCCTATTTGTTTTTCACTGTGTGTGCCGCCCATCAAGAGAACTGTGCTATGTATCCAAGAACAAATCATGACGTTTACATTCCCAGGCATTCATCTTGGGCTAAAGAATTTGAAAATTGGCAAGGTTGACTTACAGGTAAGTACAATCACTTGAGATATTCACATGCGATATTCAATTTATCTTTAGCAAATACTTTTGCGCTGACAAAACAGAACATTTTATGCTCTTTTTCACAGATAAGAACAATCCATCTGAGTGACTCCAAAGTGACTGAAGACTTCAGTTCTCACTCCCAAACTTTTTAAAAGAAAATTGTTGTATCAGTCTTGAGAAATCTTTATAAGGACATTAGACTTATTTTGATAGCTAGATCAATCAAGGCAGGATATTTCTTTATGGCTGTAATGAAATCCGTAATGAATTTAGGAATATTTGTATATTCTGGTTAAATAATTTTGCTAAATGCTGGCTGGGATATAAATATGCATACACTATCGTTTTTAGAGATTATAAGATATAAGACTAATAAACTCTGTGATACAGGATCAAAAATTGTAAACTCAAGAAATAAAAGACATTTAAAAATTGTACCAGGAATTAATCAGAAAATACCAAGTTTTTAATTTAAAGAACAACTTCATAAAGCAAGTGGCATTTATGATGGGTCTTATATGAAGGAGAGGTTGGATAATCATAAAGTCCATAAAAGTCCATAAAATAGAGATGAGATGTTTAGCAGATAGAAAGAGAAAAGCATAAACAAAGAGAGTGAAATATGTGAGACAGTTTTCTGGAACAGCAAACAAGCTATGAAAAAGAGTAGGCAACAGTAAAATTCGAAATCCAACATTATTTTTATAGCAGTACTGGGAAAGTGGTATGTATCTTTGAGTAATGTGTATCTTTGAAAATGTTGGTTGAAATTTAATTTAAAAAGATTAATCTACCATTGTTGAT